AATACAAGGCAGCTCTGCATGTTATTATTTTTTGTATGTGAGGGCATAAATTCCAGGTAGAAGAATTACTCTGATCATCTCGCTGTTCTCATTTTCCAGTGTTTGTATTAAATAAGGAGTCATATTAAATCATTTCAAGGCTGAGCATCCTTTTGTTTTTCAAGGTAATATCTGTAGACTCTTCACATATCTAGACTGGTGGTAGCTCAAGGTATATACAGCTCTTATCAAAAATATGAAAGGTTGTAGAAATGAGGCCAAACTCTTAGCTCTAATAAACAGAATACAGAAATGATGCAAACAGAGAAGAGAGCATTGCCATTTATGCTGGCAAGTTTCAGCTTTGTCCTTCTTTTCCACAAGAACAAGAGCAACAGCTTATGCAAAGGAACGCTAGCAACAGCCAGGCACTGCTGGGTTTATCTTTAGTGTGATAAGCTTCCTTCAGGGAGACAAGAACAAACCGTGCACAAGGCATAGAGAAGGTACAGGGTGTACATTTCAAACTGTTTCCACAGTGAAATCGTTCCAGCTTCAGGAAACCAGTTAAGTTTCCTCTTTGTCGGAGCTCCTTTCAACTTCTAAGGAAGCACAAATACTTGGTACCTGCTTTGGTGCACTGAACTCCTTAATTTTATTTCAATAGGGCTTGACTGATAAGTAGTTGTATGTGACACATGCCATTCAGTTTAGCTGCCTGGAGCAACCTGCTCTAGTGGAAGGTGTCCCTGCTTGTGGCAAGGGGTTGGAACTGAATGAGCCTCAAGGTCCCTTCCAACCCAAACCATTCTATGGTTCCATGGGTGTGACAAACTGTTGCTGAACCAAAGGCAGAGCTCAGACCCCCCCCCCCCAGCAGGCAGTCTCAGTTCCAGGAGCTGGTGCTCTCAGCCAGCAGCATCCCTGCTCCAGCAGCCAGGTGGCACCAGGCTCAGTGATTAGCATCCCTGGGGCTGCCGCAGCTGCACATCGCAGCTCTCATTAGGGCTCAGCTTCTGGCTCCTCAGGGTGCACCTGGAAGCCTTTAAATCTTGGGTGGAGCCACTTTTCCTGCAGCTTCTGAGCTCCCTTTCCACTGCCAAAGCTTTGTGCTTGGAAGGCTTGTGTGGCAGTGCAGGTGCTTGTGGCTGGCTGTGCAGAGCTCACATGTATGGTCCTAGCATCTGGCTGGTGGCATCTGGAAACCCTGCTGCCTTCTCCTTGCTCCTGTGCAAGCACAACAGATGTAGTCTCCCCGTATTTTACAGCGTATGGTAAGTAGTATGCCTGTGCAATGAGTAATGAAGTTGAGGCAGCGTGCGTTCTCCCTGCGTGGAAGTGCGAATGTTTTAAACCTCTGTGATTTCTTTATGCATTAAAACATTAAAGAGGCTGAATTCCATAAGAAAGACTTAACTACTCCTTAAATCCAGTCTGGAAAGCAAAAGCAAGCGGAGGTCGCTTGTAACTCTAAATACTTGCGTAAGATATTCATGTCTATTTGCTTCTGGAATATTGAAAATAGGTGGCCTTCTTGTCCTTATCAATGTAGCAGACTTTTACCCCAGTGGGGAGTTTCTGGTTGGGTCTTTCTGCACAGTTGTTATTTTCTAATGATTTGTAGCAGATCCGTTCAAATCTGAGTCTTAAAGCAGGATTAAAGTCAGATAAATTGTCAGGAGAGAAAACAAAAAAGGCCTAATTTGCTTTGGCCTGGCTTGCTCCTGGTATATTTATTCTAAACCAAGATGATTAGCATAGCAAAACATGTTCCCAGCCTATGTGAATGTGCACTTCCATTGAGAAGGGATTTGCTGGCTGCATATGGCAGCCAATATTCTTGCCTAGGTTTTAATTTGTTTGTTTGGATGTTTGATGTGTTGTTAGGGGTTATAGGACTGAAAAGCTTCCAAAAGTCTTATCCAGCTTCTCAAAAATACCAATCCAGAAAAATACGTGTTTACTTTTGGAAAATAGATGTTCTCTCCTTGGCAAACAGGTGCTTACCTGTATTTTTGGCAGGGGTGTGGAATCTGGGTATCCAGTTAAAACTTTCTGCTATTGCTCACTTGGCCAAGCTGACAGAAATCGGTTTTGACTTGCTTCAAAGGCCTTTTGCACTATTGCTGCTGACAAAACCATAGCTGCAAAAGAACGTATTCATTTTAGAAACCCAGATTGGTTCTTGGAACCAAAATGGCTACTGTGCTGTGCTGCTAATCACATCACACATGCGGAAGTCAGGGCTGCTGCAGGTTCTGTCAGCAATCCCCTGCCTTGATACACGCGTTCTATGAAACACTTCTAAATTGCAGACTTTTTAATAGAATGAAATGCTTTGAGATGCGCTCCACTGTGGATTGTTCTTGTCGTTAAATATGACTCTCTTTGGAGAATAAATTCCCTTTCATTAGCAAACGAAGATCCTAAAAGGGGGATGGGGATAATGTTTCCTTCAGCATCTGTGAGACACTGCAAATTGAGCTCAGGTGAAATCATTATAGTTCCTCGTTAAGGGTTAGGCTCTGCTTTTACACACCTGGCTGGCTGATGGCTTCAAGGCAGCTGCAGTGAGAACAGAGCTCAGGCCTAAGGCTGTGCATGCTCTTTTTCCTCTCAGTAAAGTGCTGGAAAGGGCCACCAAGCTTGATGAGGTGTGGAAGTGGCTTGAAATGGACAAATTAAATTGCTTTCTCTTTATCTTTTTAAAGTGATGATGGGAATGTGGAAAACATTATTAGCGGTAGAAGAGCCTTCCAGTAGAAACTGGCTTTGCAATATAGTTCTTGAAGAGACCAATGCAGGTCCCTTCAAGATCTTTCTTAGAGAAATGAAGAGGAAGGTGTATGTAAGGCTGTGCAGACAAGGACAAGCAGCCACATTCAGAGTGGACTTTTAAGATTATGGTGTAAAATACCTGAATGCAGTTTGGTCCAGAATTGCTGTACAATGTATTGCATATTTGCCACTTAGAGCCTCATGATCCTGTGATTCTTTTGGGCATAAGTCGAGCTAAGAACTTCAATCTACATTTAATTTTGATGAGGTGTTTGTTAGTTCGGTCGCTCATCTCCATCCCGCATGTTTTGCGGCTAATGGCTTTGATGACAATGGCACTAAATTGTACACTTCAAGTTGAGTATTTCTTACCTGTTTTTTTCTGCTATAACTGGGACTAAAACTTTCTTCTAACAATTTTACCCAGAGAAAAGGGTATGTCTCTTGAGATCATAGAAATCGAAGTCAGAAAAGGTAAAAAAAGTCTTTGTTCTGTGATGCATCCTTCTGCTGTCTCCAAAGCAAAAGCACAGCACCTTTCATAGATCTCTCAGCCTCTGCTCATCAATACCTACAGTACTACATTAAACATTGTTTTGATACTTAGCTTGTGCATTTCTAGAAGTACAGGCCTATAAGTAGTGAATGAGGAAATTTCATGTCAAGAAGAAAAGACAAAACTGCCTGTATCCAAATGGAGCATAAGATAATCATGTTTTAGTAACAAGCATTGTTGGAAGGAAGTTGGCTGCAGAAAAGTGACTCTGGAAGATTTAAGTGGTTTGTGCAGCCCCAGAATAAGAGAGCACATCTGCAGAGTGGTATCTGGGGTTCAGAGACAAGCAATGACCCATCTGCAGCATTTAGCATGTGGTGTAACAGTAACTGTGCAAGGCAGAATGCCTCTGAAAGAGGAAAAGCTGCTCTGTGCATTAAGAAAACTTCTTCAAAATAACAAGGAAATTTAGTCTTAAATACCGGGCTTCTATTTTCATAGTTTATGATACCATGATTAGGTTCCTTCTGTGGACACAAGTTTCTTAATAGTGCTATTCATCACTGACAAAGGTTAGACTTGAAGAAAACTAGAACTGAGATGAAAGAATAGACTTTTTATTATGTTAGCAGCTGAATGTGTCATTACATCAGAGTCAGTATTGTGTGGCAAATTGCAAGCTGTAGTGAAATTGCTCTAAAAAATATCTGTATATGTTTTTTTCTCAAACTCTGATGAAGTTATTCAGCAGCACATTGAAATGTATTTCTAGCTGAACTGTTATATCCGATCTTTTTCTACTGTGGCAAAAGAACAGATGGCAGTTATTTTCCTTAGTCTCCAGCAAACCTGATGCGACGCCTTCCCTTGTAAAGCCTTTCGAGTGAAAAACAGTTACACGTGGCCGAAATGAATCTGCATTGTAACATTGACTTGTGGTTTCTAAAGCAAACTTTTAATCAGCTTGAAACAGTAGGCTGGTGATAATTACTTAATGTGTATCAGTCAAGTAGATCATTATGACAGGAAAATGAGCTATTAATCAGAATCAAATGCACATGTTTTGCAAGAAGTTTTCAGAGCAGATGTCTTTTCATAGACGTTTTTAATGGAATAATTGAGTGGTCCATGGCTTGAGGACAACTGCAGTCACTCCCATGGTACAAAGGCATTTGTGGATTTGGAGATGCTTCCTGTTGCTTTATAGCATTCCTGGGGGGATTGTGATTGATCTGAGAATAACAGCTGTTCTGTAGCTGGCATGTGGAGAGAGCTGTGGCACGTGCAGTGACAAAGTTGTTTTGTATGGTTTTTATAGGCATAATATAAATTGCAATGTTTTTCAAAGAGTTTTGTTTTAAAATCGTCACTATCTTAACAGTAGCTCAGAGGAAACCTGGTGAAAATGTCTCGAAATACAACCTGATGTAAGATTACTTGCCTGCTTCACCAGGAGCGCTGCGTGCTTCAACAAAATACTGTATTCTTAAGTGAAGTCATTTGTAGTCATAAATCAAAATGAAGCTGCCAAGTATTGTAAATCTAGGACTACCTACCAATTGATGACTTTTTAGATAGCCTGCTCTACTGTGCCATGTTACAGAAGCATTCTTAACAGCTATATTTTATTTACAAGCTTTTAATTAATGCTCTGTTGAAAACCTGGCCTTTATTTATTCAGAGAAGCTTTTTTCCTTCTGTCTTATACAAGCATGTTCAAATAAACCTGGTGTCTCTTATTTTACAGCCTTCGACAAAAGAAAGGGAACTTGGCTCAGAAGCACTGGGCTGGACCAGCTAACATAGCCAAGTGCAAGCCTTGCCCCGTGACGCATGGCAACGCTGTCTGTGGATCTGATGGACACACATACACTACCAGGGTGAGTTCTGCTGGTGACCCTGTCAGTAGTGATCATACAGGCTGTAGTGTGAAGATGAAATAGCTTTCATTAATAGGTGGCATTAAAGAGCAGTTCTACTTCAGTTTGGGAATATTTTTTGTGGAAAAAAGTGCTGATAAATGTAGGTTTGTGCATATTTGAGAAACAGCAAATCAGAATGACACATCAGAATCTTATGACTTTCATGATTCATGTTTCTCTAAATAGCTCGTTCTTGCTAATGAAGTGGAACACTTTCAATATTGATGATACAACAGAAAATCCATTTGACCAGATGGGCTTGTTCAGACAAGAGGATTTTGGGATAGTTCCTGTTTTTAAGGTTTGCTCTCCAAATGCTGTGATAACTTGGCAGTATCATTGTTCTGTGGTAGTTTTGTGGGAGATTTTAATTCATTTTTTCCCCAGGATGCATGGATAACATATTACAGTTCATTTAAACCACAGTTGTAATAGGCTTGTGTGCCAGATGTAGCATGTATGGTACCAGTAAAACAGTCCCATAACCCAGTGGGGATAAATTGGCTTGTTGTTACATTGAAAATATGACCACCTTAGGGCTTTACTCAATAAAAGAAACTGACTTCACAGCCATTCAGCAATCCAGATCTCCCATTAGCAAATAAAGCCTTTCATGTCTCAGATAGATGTGCAAAAGCAGCACTTTAGGCACTGGAAGTTATGTTTAGGGAATACCCCTAAGGTTTTCTTCACTTCCTGATGCAAGGTAAGGCTTGACAGCCAGTAAAACTATCCCTTAAAATCAAAAAATACACCCTATGTCCAAAGAAATAAAAATCCAGGAAAATAAAATGATCAAGGGGAAAAGAAAATCTCTGCTGTAATGTTAACAGTGATGATGATATTGCAGCTACATTATGTTCTCAGCTGAGCAGCTTGAATTCCTCATCCATTAATGGACACAGTATTAAGATGCTGCCATGGGTAATTCATTTCAGCCTCTTTTCTGTTCTGGCTGAAGGATTTCCACAGCCAAGGAGCAAATCAGCAGAAACTCTCTCATCTTTGCACATCCAGGCTGCAGAAAAAGGGCTCCAAGTTGCCTGTTACACAAGCAGCTCTTTAATACCCTCTAGGAGTATGTAATGCAGTAATTTAGCATCGGTACTTAGGATTAAAATTGGGCTCATTTTGAAAACAACTTTTTTGTCTCAACACTTGAGAGTATGTAAGACTCTATAGTAAATAGCTTTCATTGCGTATTCTGGCATCGTACTGAGCTCGTTTCTGTGCAACTTCCCTGCATCTGTTAGTTCTGAGTCTTCTTTTTTGACCTTTGGTATTTCTTACCCTAAGATTCAAATGCTTTTCATAAGAAGCTCTGCGAGTGTCATTAATTTGCCAAACTATTGTGACTACCAGTACAAGCTTGACAACTATAATTAAGACATCAAACAATTCCTGTCCCTGACATGCGTGACTATCAAAGGTGCACCACCCAGAAGTTGTCTCTGTTTAAAGGAGCCTCTTGAAAGATTCATTCAGAAGACACTTTGTCTCATCTTCTTTTATTGTGTGTTTAATTACCAATTCCTCTTTTCCTAGCAATTGAAAACTGCAGCGTGTTGTTGGTCTCTCAAGTGTAGCAACTTCTTTTCCATGCTCTCCATCACTGCCTGGGGATGAGGGGTTTTGTTGCTTTCTGAGTACTGTTCTGCAGGAGCAATTACTTGTCATATTGTGTATTTGTAGTTGCTTTTTCTAAAGCCTTCTTTTGACTGAAGGCTCCTCCAGTGTCATGATGATTGGTAATCTTTCTGTAGCATCCAGTCCTAGCAAGTGGATACGTGTCTGGTTAACCTTTATGGAATGTCAGAGAGATGCTTATAGCAATGGTGTTACTGTTTTCTGTACAGAGTACGTTGTAAATCTCAGAGTACGTAACCTGTAGAGCATCGTTGTCTCTACAACTTCTTCTAAAAGCTCTGCTTCATTGATGCCTCCCCCAGAAGACAGATTTTGGTAAATGAGCTGAAAATACTTTAGACAGAGCGTTAAAACTAAATGGTATATTTTAATGTCCTAACAAATAACATTTTTATGGCCAGTAATGATCTTGGGTTTGTGGTATCTTTCATAAACAGAATAAACTGCTTCCCTCAAATTCACCGGCAGTTTTCCCCAGATGCTGTAATCCCTCTTTCTTGCCCTTAAGTCACTAAAATCAAAGCTTTTCTTTAGCAGTTCTCTTTCACATGCACTGCTGTTGACATATGTGATTTCTGGCACTGCACTGGTGGCATGATGTAGTATTGACTGTGAAAATGCAAGAAGGTGGACATTTGAGTGTGGGCACTGCTTTGCATCTGTATGTATGTATTCATACCTGGCTCTGCATCAGGTGAATGTGTAATGATATTCTGTGCAAATGACGGTATTCCTGCAAAGCCTGTAAACAAAAGGTAGAGTGGTCCCTGCATTTCAATGGAAAAAGCCTTCTGAAATGGTACATTGGCTGTGTGAGTAGATAGCCAGCATGCACGTACACCCCAGCATTTTGATCCAGCCTGGCTCAGTTTGATTTTTGCCTTTTCCTGCCAGCACAGCAGGGGGTTTGGGCTTAAAGTTCATGGCCTGACAGAGCACCATCAAAGCATTTCACTAATGACTGGGGGCTACCATTCAACACTGTCAGTAATGTTTGTACCAGGGATTGCTCTTAACATGTTTTGAACTGTTAGAGGTAAAAATGAATGAAAAGGATGTAGCAGAAGTATGATTGACTGTGGTAAAATGCAGCTGAAACTTGGCTGTCAATAAATGCAGCGAAATTCACATTAAGAGAAAACAACCAAATATACGCATCTCAAGCTCTTATTTAGCTACTTGATCTCAGAATAATTCTGGCTGTTTCTTGGAAGACATGGTAGACCTAGAGGCAAGAAACTAGACAGAGTGATCCAACCCAAAGCCCTCAATAATACAAGAGTCATAGGGTAAAATGTGAAATGTAAACCATAAGCCACCATTTAAGTTTACTGGTTGATATAGAGGCTCTGGATTTTTAACGTGATCTTTCAGTTGCACATAGAAGCCTTCAGACTCTCAACTAATTTCCTGAGGATGAGTCAAAGGAATAGTTCTCTCTTTCTTTGAAAAAGGAATCTTCCATTGAGAAATATTTAAAGGTATTGGTTTCCAACACAAAGGTAAATGGGGAAAAATGTTGAAAATGATGAGGAGCCCATACCCAGATCTTGTGCTACAAGGGATCTGAAAGTGTCACCTAAACTATCACAATAAGGGACACAACATACTGAGTACTTTGATGGATCTTAAATTGAGTCAGCTTCATATGTGAGAGTTGTACTGCTTGAAAAATCTCATCAATCCTTAAGCATTAAACATTTCTGGTTCTTCTTCTGAAGTGTCTTCAAAAGTTGTCTCCGTTGTTGACTTGTTTCATTTGCTTCACACAAGTGCTGATGTTGAAGGGGATGAAGATGCTTGGCTGCGGTGTGCAGTGGGGTTTTTATTCTTGTTTGGTTTTCCAGGTGGCAAAATAATTCTTCTGAGCAATGAGATTCTTTAGTCACACCAGTAATTCAGTGCTTGTGCTTGACAACATCTGAACACAGGTGCGGCCTTTATCTACTCAGTCCTTATACTGTTCCCAGCAATTGTTCCTAGCATTTTTTGGTTTACTTTCACAATTTAGTTATATTTCTGAAAACCTCAAAAAGTGTCTATCACCCTTTTCTGTTATCTTTGCACTCTATGAGCTTTAGGTTTGTACTGAGTCTCTCTAGCTACTGCTTGAAATGGAAATGTTTTAAAGTGCCCACGTTCTCTGTCATATAATAAGACTTCATGAAAAAGAAATGGCTGTTTCCTGAGCATAACAGCTCTGTTTAATACTCTGACAGTGTAAAGCATCTCCATAGTCTATTGCAATCTGAGTTTTCAAAGCTAAAGTACTAATGAATTAAGTTTAGGAGGTAAGTAAGCCCTGGGAAGAGCACTATGTAATTAGTTAATGTTTTTGTCGGCAACACATTAGGATCTCTGTAGCTGTCAGTTTTACAGGAAGTTTAATTAAGCTGTTTAATAAAGCAATTACCTGAACATGGCGATGACTGCACTTAAATAATCAGAAAACGAAAATAAGGATGATCTTAAATTCTGAAACATAGCACCTCAATGACTAATAGTCCTTTCAAAGATGGAAAGGTACATCGCTATAATTATTATGCTTCTAATTAGGTACAGTGTTGTTCTGCAAAGTTTAATTAAATCATTGCAAACTAATTAAGGCCATGATCATGCCTCTTTTTGTCTGAAAAGGGAAAATTGCCTCCTATTGTCATAACATTAGGTAACAAATTTGATGTTGAGGGATGTGCAAGAGAAATAATTTTCTGACAGTCTTGAAATGAGAAGGAAAATAATGACTGAAATAATGACGCGAGTAGTTAAATGTGTGCAGTGTGAGTGCTGCTGCATGTAATTAGGAGGAATTTGTACTGAGAAGCACAGTTAATAAGGATTTGTTAAAAGTATCCAAATGTTGAGTATTTAGTGCAACCTGGTTTGGTTTTCTGTAATCCGGTCATTGGCTGGATTACCTGTCCTTTTGGTGCGGGTTGCTGTCATCCAGATGTGGTTTTGCACAGCTTTCCCTCGCTGTAGTTGGTTGAAAGCATGACTTAGTCTTTTGTGATGGGGAAACAAGATACAAAGCAGAGGCTTAGAAAGCGTTAAGACCAGTCCTGAGGAGTTTGATTAAATTCTGTATTAACTTTCATCTTTGGTTTGGTTTCTTAAGGGAAAATTAAGGCAATCTGTGCAAGAGGGTATGGCATGGGGAGTAAGACAGGGAAGATTAAGACAAGGTAGGATATGGTTAAAGAAATCTGTGGAGAAGAAAATTAAGTTATCCTCCTGCATATGCTCCTTGCACAAAGTTTAAAGATTGTTGATGGGGGGTACAGGAATAAATTAGTTTTTCCTCTCCCCCT